CCAGCGGAAATCTATCCCTTAACACATATGAACGCATACTTTATAAAAACGATCATATTGCTATTTTCATTTGAAAATGTAATATTTAATATAAAACATATTACAGTGCATGTGGCATGCCATACAGTAATTCACAGAACTGATTAGACAGACAGCACTCAGTCAATTCACTCATTATAACTAAAAATCAGAGTGATTGACAGAGATACAGTAGAAACATGCAGTACCGTTTTAAAAGTATCGATTTGGCACCGGTATCGTAAAAAACCCAATCGATACCCAACCCTACGCATTAACGCAAATTAATTTTAACAGCACTAATTTTATTAACGCGTGATTAATGCAGCATTCATTGCCTGTTTGACTCATGGCCTAGCCCATAGTTGGAGAAATGGAGATGCACGGTGTTGCAAACTTAGCGACTTTTTTCACTAGATTGAGGCCCCGGATCGCTGCAAAGAAGCGAGACAGGGCGCCAGTTCTTAATATCAATAAGGTCCCCTTTTTTTGGAATAAGGGTGATAACCGCCCTCCGGCAACTCAGAGGCAACCTGCCCTCTAACAAGCTGACACTGAGTACCTCAAGCAGATCCTCTCCTAGCTCCAGAGGGGGAAAAAAAGATCGGATAAGGAAAGCTCTGGCTTCGTGTGGATGTAGCCTTAGAGACTTTTCAGACCCCTTTAGCGCCTTTTTTTTTTTTTTTCAAAATAGCGTCTACTGTAGCGACAAGTCTAGCGGTTTCATGGACAAACCTTATTTAGTTTCTGAGATTCGCCGTTAGCGAGCGGCAGAGAAGCAGTGCTTTGAGTTAAAACAGATATTATGTTGCTTCTCTAATTTTACATGGAAGTGTAGCCGAACTCACAACACAGCTATTGTTTTTCTCGTATGTGTATTTTATTTTACAGACGACAGCTCGATTATTAATCAGGATTTTTGTGCAGATTAACATCTTGGAAGGGAGAGCTGGTTATGTCTTAATGGGTCGCATTTCAGTCACTATTTCCTATTCATTCGGTTGTCTGACAACAGAAAGAGTAAAATATATCAATGAAAACAGTTTTTTAGATTTATCAATTTAGCTTTATCAAATTACAGTATGTGGGTACAGAGAGGCAAACAAATGTAATAATAAATAATAAATGTACATTTTGCATGTTCAGAAGATGTGAGCTGCCCTGTTGTGTGAAAATGTAAACAGGCTTGTGTAAGTAAACTGCTCAGTGCAAAGAAAGAGAAATAATGGGAACCTATGTTCTTTTTTTTATGTGTCTAATAGACATGAACAAGTTCTTTGAAAAACATCTATGACCTTTGAAACATGTCTAGTCTTCATGCTCTACGTTGACTATGGTTTCACTAATAATAAACATACTTTTGCATAAAGCATCCATATTTGTCCATGCCCATGTTGATTAGAGTAAAAAAACATTTTCAGAGCGCAGTGCATAAATAAAACGCCTCTGCCCAGTCTTTTTTTCCATGCTGAAAAAGTATTTGGATGGTGCATCCATCTGATCAATGCTTTGAAAGCGTGAACAGACCAGAGCCCCCTGCGTTTATACCCCAGTAGATCTGCTAACTGTGCTTTCTTCTTAGAGCAGGCTTCCATATGTCGAATTTCACCAGTAGAATGAGCCAATTTCTGAGATTCAAGTATCTCTTATTCCAAAAGTTCTAAGGAACGAGCCAACTCTTTAGTGACGTTGTGAGTGTACTGTTGCGTAAACTGCTTTATCTGGATCTTACCAAAGTCCCACCACTGTTGTAATGAATGAAAAGATCACTTCATTGTTTTGTAAACTTCCCAAAAGGACTTGAATGATTCCTTAAAAAAAGTATAATTTAGCAGCTTATTGTTAAAGTGCCAATATGCGCTTTTGGGTTTAAAGGGGTCATATGATGCTATTTTAAAGATCATTATTTTGTGTATTTGGTGTAACAGAATATGTTGACATGCTTTAATATTCAAAAAACACATTATTTTTCAAATACTGTACATTATTGTAGGTCCTCTATGCCCCGCCTCTCTCAAACACGTCGTTTTCAACAAAGCCCCTTCCTTTGACAAGCGCAGTCTGCTCTGATTGGCCAGCTGACCCAGTGCATTGTGATTGGCCGAACAC